GCCCACCAATTTTCAAAAATAAATGCATTTTAGGAAGAATGAAAAACACAAATAATCAAGAAACTCCCAGAGTATGGGGCTGGGTGCAGTTTGGTGCCCCTAAGGGCCGTCCCACTCTAGGCGATCGCCTAGTGAGTGAGCCGGCCCTGGTTCCGGGCTGGCATCGGGGGAGACCCACGTTTGGTGGGGGGGAAGAAGACGACGAAGAGACTGGATGTCCACCCCAGTGTTCCCTCTAAGCTGAGTGAGTGTGAGCCAGCTCACAGTTTTTTAGCCTCCGGCTCACAGTTTTGCCTTCACTCAGGGAGGAGGGCTCCAGAGCAAACTGATTTCTGCAGCAGCCAAATGGCTCGCTCACGACTTGAATGGCAGCGGCTCACAAAAAAGAATTCTTGTTCACAAGACTCCACAGCTTAGAGGGAACATTGGTCCACACCGCTCTGAGACTCCTTTGCTTAGGAGGAAGGGCAGGGTATAAATCCAATCTCTTCTTCTTCCCCAGGCTCCATCCCGGAATCTCCAGGCGTTTCCCAACCTGGAGGTGGCAACCAGTGTTCCCTCTAAGCTGAGTTAGTGTGAGCCTCCAGCTCACCCATTTCTGTCTCCGCTCGGGAAGGAGGGCTCCAGAGCAAACTAATTTATGCAGTAACCAAATGGCTCGCTCACAACTTTAATGCCAGTATCTCACAAAAAAGAATTCTTGCTCACAAGAATTAAGCTTAGGTCATCCATTCTGGCTAATCTTCCTTAGTAGGTAACCCTTCTGCTTTCCATTGTCGAGCTATTAACAGTCTAGCAGCCGTAATAACATAACTAATTATGTATGAGTCTTGATTGCTATATCCTTTCGGGATCATGTTTAAGAGATATATTTCCGGTTTTAATGCTACATTTTTACCCAGGCTTTTTTGTATTACTTCTCTCACCATTTTCCAGAATTCTTGTATCTTACCACATTGCCACCACATATGGTAGAACGTCCCTTTACATGTTTTTCATTTCCAACATACATTTGGGTACCCCTTATAACATTTGGCTAGCTTATCAGGCGCCCAGTGCCATCTATGAAACATCTTATATACATTTTCTTTGTATGCTACCGCTCTCATGAACTTTACCGATTTCCACATGCTTGCCCACTTTCCCTCCTCTATTTCTCCTATGTCTTTCATCCAGGTGATCATTACAGATTTGATTTCTTCGTCCTGTTCAAAGTCAGTTAGTAAAAATTTATACAACTTCTGGACTAATTTATCATTTGAGGACAGCCATATTTTGTCTAATTCATTGTTTTGATCTTCGAAACCTCTTATCATATCTTTCTTATATCTATCTCGTAATGTTAGATGTTCCCACCAGGACAGATTATTTTCTTGTCGTAGTTTTCCTTCTGATTTTAACTCATTATTTTTGTTTAGTAAAGTGCGATAGCTTTCTTTCAGGTTCATTGTTACTGCGAATGGTTTAATAAAGGCTTCTAACGGGGCAACCCACCTTGGGGTTTTCCTATACCAAATTACTTTTATCTTGTTCCAAATTTTATTTAGGGACCCTCTTAAAGTATGTCTCTCAAAGTTAGAGTGGATCTTATCTTTCCCATACCATGCATAAGCGTGCCATCCCATACTAAGATCGTGTCCTTCTAAGGATAAAAGTCTTGTATTTTCAAGGGTTATCCATTCCTTTATCCATACTAGGGCGGCCGCTTGGTAGTAAATATACCAGTTGGGGACACTCATTCCTCCTCTTTCCTTCCTGTCTTGAAGTACCTTCCATTTTATTTTGGATTTCTTATGGTGCCATATAAATTGCCTGGTAGTTTTGTTGAGATTTTCAAAAAAGTTCTGTTTTTTTAACACTGGTATACTTTGTGCCAAAGTCCGAGAGAACTTGTGACTGACCCAAGCAAACTTCAGAGGACGGCAGAAGACCGGAAGGCCTGGCGTGATCTGGTCCATGGGGTCACGAAGAGTCGGACTCGACTGTGCAACTGAACAGCAAATACTTACTATTTTTCTGTTAACCTACTTGGACAAGGTCTCCTCACTTACTTTCAAGCATGCTGCTATTGTTCATCCCTACAAACCACCTCTGAGCATCTTGTGCCTTGAAAACCCTACTGGGTTGCTATAAGTCAGCTGTGGTAAAGGTAAAGGTTTCCCTTGCTGAAAGCTAGTCGAATCTGACTCTAGGGATGTGGTGCTCATCTCCGTTTCCAAGCCGAAGAGCCAGTGCTGTCCAAAGACGTTTCCGTGGTCATGTGGCCGGCATGACTAGACGCCGAGGAGCACGGAACACTGTAACCTTCCCACCGAAGTGGTACCTCTTTATCTACTTGCAATTTCTTGCTTTTGGACTGCTAGGTTGGCAGGAGCTGGGGCCAGAGATGGGAGCTCACTCCGTCATGCGGCACTCGGGTCTCGAACTGCCGAACTACCGATCTTCTGGTCTGCAGCTCAGCGTCTTAACCACTTGAGCCACCGCAGCCCCTAAGTCAGCTGTGACCTAATGGTAAAAAAGGGGGGGGGGACAGGATCAATGCTCCCTCTAAGCTAAGGAGTCTTGTGAGCAAAAATTCTACTTTGTGAGCCACTGGCGTTAAAGTTTTGAGCGAGCGATTTGGCTGCTGCATAAATTAGTTTGCTCTGGAGCCATCCTTCCCGAGCGGAGACAAAGATGTGTGAGCCGGAGGCTAAAAAACTGCGAGCTAGCTCACACTAACTCGGCTTAGAGGGAACACTGGACAGGATATTTTTTCCAGGCCAGCTGGCGATAGAGATGTGAAGGCCTGGAAAAAAACTGGAAAAATTTGGAAAAAAACAGTTTCTTTCCCGTTTTTTTCTGGAAGTCTTTTTGTGTTTTTTTCCAAAAAATTGGAAAAATTGAAAAAAGAAAAAAAAGAAAAAAATTGATTATGGAACGTTTTATTTTAACATGATGAATAAAATATTTTAAGACAAGGTGTCCAAATCTTTTCCATATCATTTCTAAAATATATATATTTGGTATCAGATTGATCTAATTTCTGTGCACTGAGGACAAGCAAGTCCTAGGTTACAAACGGAACCCTCCAATGCAAGAACAAGATGCATTTCTTCCTTTAGGAGGTGTGATTGTCAGAAGAAAATAAAAAAGTTTCTGTTTTGTTTTTGCATGTGGGTGGGTATTCTGTTTGAAATAATTGTTTGGATACACTATATTTTTAATATGCTAGTTGTGATAATTTCATGCCAAGTAAAAATGTCCATAGTCATATTTTATGTTCCTAAAGTAACAGAATGACTTTCAATCTGGAAAAGACAAAATGAATGCTAATGTAGCATTTTTAAATGTTTTCCGAAAATTTCCGTTTCCCCCCGAAAACACCCGAAAAAACCCGGTTTTTTTTCCGAGCTTCAAAATTTCCGGAAATTTTACATCTCTAGCTGGCGACCCTAATTGTTCCCTTTTATGGAGTTTAGATCTCAGACGCCGTCCGGCGTCTAAAAGTACCCCACATAATGAATGAAATGTGAGTATGCTGGATATTTTAGAAAAGCTCCATCACATTTTTGTTTCCCTGAAATGACGGATTCTTTCGCCCCTTTTTTTTTTGTGGGGCGCATTCCTTTTTGTTTCCCTCCCTCGATGTCTTCAAAGCCCAAAGAGCTCTTCTCTTCCTTTCATCTGGTTCAACCTTCGCATGCTTTTCCTACCCCACCAAAGACGTAAACCAAGGGCTTTATTCTCCCTTTGCTTCAGAGCCACTCGAAATTTAATCATTGAGCAGCGTCTGGGATTTCAAGAGCACAGCAAATCCCTACACGGAAATCAAAGAGTAAACCTAGACCCCCAAGAAGTCGAAAACCACGCTTTTGGAAATGAATACATGTGTTTAAACCCTCTTTTATTTGTCTTCTGGTTGCATTCTGTGCCTTCGGGGCACTTTCCCTCTTACAAAACATTTCTTGGATATGCTGAAGATTCAACTAGATGTATAAATCGTTGGCCTCAAACAAACAAACCCAGAAGACCACATTTGGGGGGTATCCTGCCTTGTTTATTGAAAAAGCAGTGTTGTTTCACATGAGGCTTTCTTTTTAATCTAAACTGTATATGATGGGTGCAATAGGGTTAAGAACATAAGAACATAAGAGAAGCCCGTGTCGGAATAGACCAATGGCCCATTCAGTGCAACACTCTGTCACACAGTGGCCAAAAATACCAGGTGCCATCAGGAGGTCCAGCAGTGGGGCCAGGACACTAGAAGCCTTCCCACTGTTGCCCCCCCAAGCACCAAGAAGACAGAGCATCACTGCCCCAGAGTTCCTATCTATACCTTGTGGCTAATAGCCACTGACGGACCTCTGCTCCTGTTGTGTCTGCTGACCGCCACCGGAGGTCAGCACACACGCCTGAGCTTCAGCCCAGGACAACAATGGGGACTAGGATCCTAGTCCCTCCACTGGGGGAACCAATGGGACCGTGGCGGGAGATTCAAACCCGCCAATGGGACCCAGGGGTGGTCCCCTGGTTGTGTATATAGTTGGCCTGCCGGCCGTTTGTCCCGTTCTTGTTGTGTACCTAATAAAGCGTGCTATGCACCACGTCGTTCTCTGTCGTCCATCCATGCGGCAACCCACTACACAATAGCTCCATATGCTTATCCAATTCCCTCTTGAAGCCTCCCATGCTTGTACCCTCCACCCCCTCCTGTGGCAGTGAATCCCATGTGTTAATCACTCTTTGGGTGAAGAAGGACTTCCTTTTATCCGTTCTAACCTGACCACTCAGCAATTTCATGGAGTGCCCATGAGGTTATTGTATTGTGAGAAAGGGAGAAAAGTACCTCTTTCTCTACCTGCTCTTTCCCAGGCATAATCTTATAAACCTCGATCAAGTCACCCCTCAGTCATTGTTTCTGCAAGCTAAAGAGCCCTAAGAGCTTTAACCTTTTCTCATAGGGAAAGTGTTCCAACCCTTTTATCATTCGAGTTGCCCCTTTCTGCACTTTTCCCAAAGCTATGATATCCTTTTTGAGGTGTGGTGACCAGAACTGTGAACAGTATTCCAAACGAGGGTTGCCAAATTCTCCCAGATTAACAACGAATCACCAGGCTAGAGAGATCAGTCCCCCTGAAGAACACGGCTGCTTTGGAGGGTGAACTGAATGGGGTTATACCATGATGAGGTCTTTTCCCTCCATCAAATCGTGGCCCCTCTTTCTTGCAGGACCACGTCTCCACTTATGAAGACATGAAACTACCTTATACTGAATCAGACCTTTGGTCCCTCAAAGTCAGTATTGTCTACTCACAGTTGTTCTCCAGGGTCTCAGGAACAGAAGAAGAAGAAGAAGAAGAGGAGGAGATTGGATTTGATACCCTGCCCTTCACTACCCAAAGGAGTCTCAGAGCGGCTTACAAACTCCTCTCCCTTCCCCTCCCCCCAACAGACACCCTGTGAGGTAAAAGAAGAAGAAGGATTGGATTTCTACCCCGCCCTTCACTACCCGAAGGTGTCTCAAAGCGGCTTACAAACTCCTCTCCCTTCCCCTCCCCCCAACAGACACCCTGTGAGGTAAAAGAAGAAGAAGGATTGGATTTCTACCCCGCCCTTCACTACCCGAAGGTGTCTCAAAGCGGCTTACAAACTCCTCTCCCTTCCCCTCCCCCCAACAGACACCCTGTGAGGTAAAAGAAGAAGAAGGATTGGATTTCTACCCCGCCCTTCACTACCCGAAGGTGTCTCAAAGCGGCTTACAAACTCCTCTCCCTTCCCCTCCCCCCAACAGACACCCTGTGAGGTAAAAGAAGAAGAAGGATTGGATTTCTACCCCGCCCTTCACTACCCGAAGGTGTCTCAAAGCGGCTTACAAACTCCTCTCCCTTCCCCTCCCCCCAACAGACACCCTGTGAGGTAAAAGAAGAAGAAGGATTGGATTTCTACCCCGCCCTTCACTACCCGAAGGTGTCTCAAAGCGGCTTACAAACTCCTCTCCCTTCCCCTCCCCCCAACAGACACCCTGTGAGGTAAAAGAAGAAGAAGGATTGGATTTCTACCCCGCCCTTCACTACCCGAAGGTGTCTCAAAGCGGCTTACAAACTCCTCTCCCTTCCCCTCCCCCCAACAGACACCCTGTGAGGTAAAA